AGGGGGAGGGTTGAGAGGTTGCGGAGGAGCACACTCACAGATTACGAAAGGTGAGGAGTGTGATGGAGTGACAAAAACACAGATTAGTAAGGAACTAAATACTTGAGAGATGTGGCAGGCAGGGCATTCACATGTATCAAATGAGGGGACACAGCTTGTGGGATTTAAAGGAGTGTACTGGAGTAGGAAGGTACACATGGTACAAGGATGTGAAAAGTTGGCCATTTTGGCAGAGAGAGATGAAAGCTTTTGGAAGAGCAGACGTGCATTACTGGAGGTGAGGAGTGTAACCAAATGACCTGGAGATGGTACATGGAAACATCTTATCTTAAAACATACAGTTGCAAGAAAAAGTATGTGAACCCCTTGGGATTACGTGGAGTTTTGCATGAATTGGGCATAAAATGTGCTCTGAACGTCATCTAAGTCACAACAATAGAAGAACACAGTCTGCTGAACATAATACTACACAAACATTAGATGTTCCCATGGTTTAATTGCACATAACATGTAAACATTCACAGTGCAGGGAGGAAAAAGTATGTGAGTCCCTAGCTTAATGACTTCTCCCAGAGCTAATTGGAGCCAGGAGTGAGCCAACCTTGACTCCAATCAGTGTGATGATATTGGATGTGTTGCTGACAGCTGTCCTGCCCTTAAAAAACACACACCTGTTTTGGGTTTACTGGTTTCAAGAAGCACTCTCTGATGTGAACCATGCCTCGCAGAAAAGAGCTCTCAGAAGACCTATGATCAAGAATTGTTGACTTGCATGAAGCTGGAAAGGGTTACAAAAGTATCTCCAAAAGCCTTGATGTTCATGTGTCCACAGTAAGACAGACTGTCTACAAATGGAGAAAGTTTAGCACTGTTGCTACTCTCCCTAGGCGTGGTCGTCCTGTAAAAATGACTGCAAGAGCACAGCGCAGAATGCTGCATGAGGTAAAGAAGAATACCAGAGTGTCAGCTAAAGACCTACAGAAATCTCTGGCACATGCTAACATTTTTGTTGACACATCTACAATAAGGAAAACATTAAACAAGAATGGAGTACATGGGAGGACACCACGGAGGAAGCCATTGCTGTCCAAAAAGAATATTGTAGCACGTTTGAAGTTTGCAAAAGAGCACCTGGATGTTCCACAGCAATACTGGCAAAATATACTATGGACAGATGAAACCAAGATTGAGTTGTTTGGGCAGAACACACAACACTATGTGAGGAGAAAAAAAGGCACAGCACACCAACATCAAAACCTCATCCCCACTGTAAAACATGGCGGAGGGAGCATCATGGTTTGGGGCTGCTTTGCTGCCTCAGGGCCTGGACGGATTGTTGTCATTGATGGGAAAATGAATTCCAGAGTTTATCAAGACATTTTGCAGGAAAACGTACGACCATCTGTCCGCCAACTGAAGCTCCGCAGAGGATGGGTGATGCAACAGGACAATGACCCAAAGCATACAAGTAATTCTTCAAAACAATGGCTGCCACAGCACAGAATACGCCTTCTGGAGCGGCCCAGTCAGAGTCCTGACCTCAACCCGATTGAAATGCTGTGGCATGACCTTAAGAGAGCGATTCACACCAGACATCCCAAAAATATTTCTACACTGAAACAATTTTGTGAAGAGGAGTGGTCCAAAATTACTCCAGATCGTTGTGCAGGTCTGATCTGCAACTACAGGAAACGTTTGGTTGAGGTTATTCCTGCCAAAGGAGGGTCAATCAGTTATTAAATCAAAGGTTCACATACTTTTTCCTCCCTGCACTGTGAATGTTTACATGTTATGTGCAATTAAACCATGGCAACATCTAATGTTTGTGTAGTATTATGTTCAGCAGACTGTGTTCTTCTATTGTTGTGACTTAGATGACGTTCAGAGCACATTTTATGCCCAATTCATGCAAAACTCCACGTAATCCCAAGGGGTTCACATACTTTTTCTTGCAACTGTACATGAGAGTTTTATTGGGATGAATCATTTGGTAGAGGTGACCAGACACAGCTTGTGGGAAATGAGCAGTGTAATGGACTGGCCAACATTGGAGAGATGTCCTGGGGTAGAAGGACAACAGGTTGTGAAGACACGGCCACAGGTTTTGAAAGGCCAACACTAGAGATTTTTCAAGCTAGGTCAAACATCTACACTGGCTAACACAGCTGAATGTGGGATTTCTTTCTTAGTGCATTTTAGTTTTCTTAGCTGTCAAAAAAGAGCTCAGACTTATGTAACAAACCAGTGCAAAAAACTTTAACAATGTTTAAAGTGACATAGCAGCCAATCATATCTCACTTCAATTCTGACAGTAAAAGATGATTTTTAATTGGTTTTATTGATTACTGCACTTTGCTTACCTGTTAATAAACAATCCCAAATGGGTAAAAAGTGGGATATTTTGAAACACAAAAGTCTGAATGTTTTTAGATCCAGGGATACAAATACTATAGTCAATATGCAACCACCAAAACATGGCTCAAGTCGTATTTTTAAAGATTTGCAGCTTGGACCAGAAAAGGGCAGGAATCTGCAAAAGTTTCTTAAAATACTTGCAATGTACACCGTTCACCTAGAGGGGATGTTTTTCCTCTCAACAAAAGTTTAGTCACATTTAAAAACTTGTAGGATATTTTGGAGGGTGTAAATGTAAATTATAATAGTAGTATACAGTCACAGACTTAAAGACAGTAGGATGGAGAAATATTCTATAAGACTTCATATTTTTTTAGTGGGAAAGATACCAACCATTCGCCTGAAAGCCTCAAACTTTTCAGCAACATGCATAAAAAACCCTTACATAACTAGAGCTAACCATGTAAGAAATAAATAACCGAGCACATCAGAGCAACGGCCAGCAAAGATTTGGAAGGATAGAAACTTAAGAGCTTTTGGTTAGATCACGGATGGCCAGTTCACACTAGAACGAGTTGCAGGAAAGGCACATTATGTGCTTGTTTCCTGCACCAAACATGCTGCAAGTGCCAATGTATTCTTGAGCCCCAAACGTTAATCACAAATGCAGCACATTTAGAGGTACCAAATTGCATGCAGTACCATGTGATTCGCTGCAATTCTTTTTTTAAAGATATGGCAAGCAATGCTTTTTCCATTGTCCAGTACATTTTGCAGCACATTCAAATAAACAGGTTGTCAAAACGCATTCTGCGTGCGATCACTGTGTGAGCCGTCCCTGAAAGATAATTTTTATTGGATTTTGGAATATTCAAATCATTACTGCTTCATGCCACTCGGTTTGGAAAATATACTTGGGGCCTCATTCACATGTGGATTCAGAGGCTTCAGTACTTTAAGAAGTCACAGACCTGAAAGAAGTATGCAGATTATTTGTACTGACTCTACTTTGACTTTCCTTATTTGCATTTCTACTTGGGAGATCAGAATCTCAAAATAATGAAGCAAGAGACTGCAAAACCAGCATCTTGTAAAAGTCAGTCAGCAATGACAGAATTTAGCATGATGCAATTCACCAGACACAGGTCTGGGGAACACCGGATAGTAGCAGGGCAAGCAGCAGACTGGAGATTAAACAACGCAGGATTTGAGAGATGCGTGGGAGGGAGAGAGGAGAGGTAAGTAGAGGAACATACACAGATTACAAGTGGCAATCATTGTAATGGACAATTCTAAAGAAAAGACACTAAATAGAAAGTGATTGAGGACTTGAGAAATGTGGCAGGGAACAGGATTCATGCATCAAATAAAATGGCTTGCAAGAGGTGAGGAGTGTAATGGAATGTGCAGAATCACACTTCAAAGTTCCCAGATGGAGCGGACAATTGTGGCAGAGAGAGGACTGAAGAATTTTGGAGGAGTGGACACAGACTGTGGAAGGTGAGGAGTGCTACTTGCTATACCAAGTAGGAAATGTAGAACTTTGGGCCTTACTCACAAACATGCTGCAGACAAAAAGTGTCAGATCAAGTGATTCAAATAGAAAAATGTGAAATACAAGGGAAATATGTCAGGTGAATGTTTAGCTTGCAATTTTAACACAACAAAATGTAATGGGACCCTTCATATATTTTTGTCAATATGATCCTGGTTATAATGCTGTTCTAAGACAATCTGGATCAGTGCAGCTTTTGAGTGCGTATACAAAAGATTTTTGAGTGCTCATCAAGACACAGGGTGAAGTGTTCAAAGCTTTAAAAAAAGCTTAGAACCCAACAATAGTGCATTAATTAATCTACATGGGCAACAAGCAGTAAATGAAGACTGCAAGATATGTCCAGTTGATTCTGTTCAGTGGTGGCTATGATGTCTGTACACATCTCCAGCTGTGCTCTGTAGTGATTAAAAGTAACCACTACCAGCACTACTGGACACAAATGCAGCAGGAAAAGCACCTGTGCATGCATTCTCTTTACAGTGCAAAATGTAGCTTAAAATGGGCCTGACAGTAACAAAGAATCAACGTTTAATTAACCATAAATGAACTACATAGCAGTGATTTCAACTACTATATTACATTTTTTTTTTTATGTAGATTCACACATCTGCTTAAGCTCTACCCAAAGCTGAACACAGGATGCTTGAATCTAGCCACCATTCTGCCAATAATGCAAAGATAATTGGCACTATTGCAATTGGCAGCATACAAACTACAACTCTCAACTGGCACATATCAATTTCACTTTCTTGTTGCTCAAAGCCTAAACAGCTATTAGGCAAAACGTAACTGTATGCTGACCTGTGATTTAACCAATTTCTTTTATTGTCTTTGTATGGCAAAAAAAAAAAAAAATATATATATATATATATATATATATATATATATATATATATATATATATATATATATATATATATTATATATATATTTTAAAGACGCCTACCTTTCTGTCACTGCCAACTTTGTTCAGATTGTATATATATTTTATAACACCTATACAAAACTAAATTTCTTTTAAGAAAAGAGCAAAAACAAACATAGAAATCAGTTGGACATACAGAAAAAAAACAAAACAAAAACAAAACTAATGGAAGACTGTTTGCCGTGTTTTCTTCTCCACTAAAAATGGCCACAATGATTCTCTAATGGCAACTCTAAATGGTGTCCTCTGTCCAATGCCAAGCTCCTCCAGCTTGGAGCAATCTAGTCGTGGGTTCCAAGGTCGAGGAGTTGCACCAACAGGTTCATCTGTGATCTGAAAGAAGCAAAAACATTCAGATTTTTTCTCCTTTATTTTTCCAGTCTGATATGGACAACAAAATGCAGGTTTTATATAGGCGATTCTAGAGACTGATCAAGTCGCATTTTTTGGGCTTTCCCCAACATCTGAATTTCCCACTATGCAGTTGAAACCAAAGTCTGTCATGAGCTTAGAGTGTCTTCCCCTTTAACTGCTTAAATCTGGTGCATTTTTCCTTTCAGACTGGTTCTGTGGCCTCTTATTTGGTCACTACTGTTCAGTGTTTCTAGCCATTTAGGAGTTCCACCCTCACCAGCCAGTCTTTTCTAAGAATATTCCATAAAATAATTATATAGGCTGCCACTGCTGATTTCTCCTGAAAATTCTAGTTTCCTGGCTGTCATGCTAGCCCTCTTCCTTCAATTCGTTAAGTAATCTGTCGAAAACATTTATGTAGAGAAGATTGTCTGGACTTTCCTTGTCAGCATACTTATTACAAGTCAGTAGCTCAGAATGTACTAAAGCCAGCGGGTCAGTTTGGGTCCCATATTGAGAGCTGACCTGCCTCACATGTCCAAATGTACATTCAATAAGAAGGTCCTTGCACCCCAATGAGATCCATTTCCCATCATTTGGCAATCTGGTATAGTTGTTTGTCTCCTGACCCTGTACCTGTTCTCATGAATGTTTACACTGCCCTGAAATTTCTGTGTCTGCTCTATATTTCACTATGTTTTTGTCACCCTCTATCCCAGGAGTCCCCAAAACCCTCAGATATGACTAGACATCCCTTGCTTTCAATAACAGTCTTGTTAACATTCGCTAGCAAAAACTGCTTCACCAGCAGTCACATTTTGAAATGGAGAATTTCTCCAACAATTCACCAATGATTCCTATGGAGACCCACCATATCCAATAGCTCTTTAAATACAGTAATCTAACTCTAGAGCTTCATCCTGCCCTCTGTATGACTTCACAGACAGATCATCCCATTTTTTTTTTTTGATTTTGTGACACTGCAGTCCAGTAAGCAGTGGAGTAACATTCCTCTCTTCTATTTGTTCACCCGAATACTTTTAAGGGGCTGCGTTAAATGTGTGTATATGCGCTTTTGTTTGTGTCTCTAAAGTGCAGCTCAGTAAAAGTACTGGAATGGACAAAGGAGATAGAACTGCTCCTCCATGACTGCCAAGATCCTGTGAAGACTGGGACTGAGCTCTGCAGCAGTTTTCTTATTTTGGATCACATTCGCAATGTCCTATTGTCCCTTTCGGTCAGCTGACCATGTTGTCCGTGCTTATGCTTGTCAGACTGCGTTTTACCGGAAACTGTAACCATTGATGTTGTACCTCGCTAACAGCAAATAAACTGGTAACTTCAGTCACAGAGGCACCAGCTAAGTCGGCACCGAATCCCTATTACTAGCAGCGCACACGTTACTACATCACTTCTGCTTTTAACTTGAAATATGTCATCACTTTCACAAACTGAAAATCATGTGGCGTTTTCATTTTTCTGTCTAACCCATGTGTACACACACAAAAATAGAAACACTACATGATTTGCAGGTGAGAAAGCGATGACCTATTTCCTGCTGAAAGCGGAAGTGATGTAACATTCTATGTATCTCTCACATACTCAAGCCCCCTATTGTACTTATTAGATATCCCTACACAAAAGTTAGTTAAAAAAAAAAAAAATCACAGTTTTGTATACAAATGTTTCGCAAACATGCATAATTATGAGTTTACATATTTTACACATTTGTCATGCATAATATACAGTTTTTTGTAGTACCATAAGAGTTGAAAGATTATTCTGTTTTTTGTGTGCACTAAACATTTCAGTGTTTTTTTGTTTTGTTTTACATTTTCCAATATACCATGGAATGTACACTATCAATAGGAATTAATTCTATAGATTTCCATAGCTTAATAATTATGAACAAGGTGCTGCCAAACATCTAAATATATTGGCACATTTGTTAAAAAGTGTTCATTACAAAATGAAATGTTTGAAAAACGTGCATGCGTTGCTTACAACCAACAACTGTCACCAGATCAGACAGAAGATGAAGACTGGCTTGTTAATGCAATAAGGTTCTTGATATTTGCTCCTAAAATGATCTACAGTACAGTTTGGCAGAGCTACATACAGGTATAAATTAGAATATCATCAAAAAGTTATTTTATTTCAGTAATTCAATTAAAAAAAAAGTTAAAAACTCATTCTATCGATTCATTACACACAGAGTGATATATTTCAAGCATTTCTTTCTTTTTTCATTTTGATTATGGCTTACAGCTAGTGAAAACCCAAAATTCAGTATCTCAGAAAATTTGAATATTGTGAAAAAGTTCAATATTATAGACTCACATCACTATTGTAGATGGTGTCACATTCAGCTAATCAGCTAATTAACTCAAAACACCTGTAAAGGTTTCCTGAAACCTTTAAATGGTCTCTGGTTTAGTAGGTTACACAATCATGGGGAAGACTGCTGACTTGACAGTTGTCCAGAAGACAATCATTGACACCCTCCAGATGTTTACAGGTGTTTTGAGTTAATTAGCTGATTAGAGTGTGGCACGAGTCTACAATATTGAACTTTCACAATATTCAAATTTTCTGAGATACTGAATTTTGGGTTTTTACAAGCAGTAATCCATAATCATCAAAATTAAAAGAAAGAAATGCTTGCAATATGACACTGTGTGCGATGAATCTATATAATATAGGAGTATCACTTTTTTCATTGAATTCCTGGAATAAAATAACTTTTTGATTATATTCTAATTTATTGAGATGCACCTGTATATATTGTCCAAATATGGAGATCTCCATCTTCAAAAACTTTGAAAATGTTAGAGGTCTAAAAGAGCCAAGCTTAATATTACTGTGAGGAATGTGTAGGCGCTTCATAGAGATATTTATATTCAAGTTCATTTGCTATCATTCTGGCATAACAGTAATGTGACCTTGGTAAAAGGTTGATATGTCGACATGAATCTATTCATTTTTTTATGCTCTTTTGCCTAAGCTCTGTTCCTGGGAGAACTATGCCAACAGAAACTCATGATAAGACTTGTGCAGTCCTTCAGAGATTCTGACAGTAATAAAAGACCTGAAGGCAACTGTGCACATTTCATATTTGTTACACATTCACTACTTGCTGTATTATGTACATAAACATAAAGCACCTAGATATAAAAAGGACCCCTTAACACTTACCACAACACAAAATGTTCCATATCAGAGTGTGGGTTGATGTCTGTTTTGCTCAGCAGTGAGATGTGCCGTTTTAATGCATTACCCCGCTTTTTTTTTTTTTTTTTTTTTTCAGTTTTTTTTTTTTATGTTACTGAGAGTGTACAAAGTTACACTCCATTCGTCTCCAAACTGCAACTGCACTGCATTGACCTGTGGTGTGGTCTGATGTGCTGTGGGGAAATGCTGCATGTCTGCACATTGGCGCAGTGATGTAGTGAAAGTGCAGAGAAGCGCAACTCACCGTATATAGTGTGAAGGGCGCTTTCAAGCCATAGCGTTAAGCAGTGTTATTGTGGGCTGTGTTAAGGCAGATGCCATTTATGTCAACTGGCTCTCTCTGGACTGGCAAGCCACCCCAGATAACTGAAAAACTGGACCAGCAGCAAGTTTGGCCATAGCACAGCATGACATGCCCATGTTACATAAGCAAAATCCTTTCTGGTATTAAAAGAGGTATAGATTAGTACCACCTCATCAGGAATATGCAGTTCAGTTTTGGGCACCAATTCACAAAAAGAACATTGGGGAACTTGAGAAAGTACAAAGAAGGGCAACTAAACTGATAAGAGGCATGGAGGAGATCAGCTGTGAGGAAAGATTAGAGGCACTGAATTTATTCTCTCTTGAGAAGAGGAGATTAAGGGGGGATATGATCAACATGTATAAATACATCAGTGGTTCATATAGTGAACTCGGTGTAGAGCTATTCACCATGAGGTCATCACAGAGGACAAGGGGGCACTCTTTACGTCTGGAGGAAAAGAAATGTAATCTCCAAACACGGAAAGGTTTCTTCACAGTGAGAGCTGTGAAAATGTGGAATAAACTCCCTCAAGAGCTGGTTCTGGCCAGCTCAGTGGATTACTTTAAAAAAGGCCTGGATTCTTTCCTAGATACACATAATATAACTGGATACTAACATTTATAGGTAAAGTTGATCCAGGGAATAACCGATTACGTCTCGGGGGATCAGGAAGGAATTTTTTTTAACCCTGAAGGAGCAAAATTGGATCATGCTTTACTGGGTTTTTTGCCTTCCTCTGGATCAACTGTGGGTATAGGATTATAACTTTTTTTTAGATGGCTGAACTGGATGGACTAAAGAGTCCCTAAAAATTAGAAACAATGGCTTTGAAATGACAGAGCTCAATTCTTTAAGGACCCGTGAGCGTATATGCCATCCAGTCCAGGTGCTTTAATCACCTTTATTCTGTCTAAATAGTTTTGGATCATATCAATTGTGAGCCAATGTGGATCATCTGGAGCTGTGTCAATACCATGCCCATTATGGACAAGAGCTCGCCCATGCTCCTTTGTATACACAGAGCTGGAAAAGGTATTTAATAAGTTTGCCTTCTCTTTGTCCCCAGTCACCCACTCTGGATTATTTTGTAAAGGGCCTACATGCTCAGACCGAACCTTTTTACAATTAATATATCTGAAGAATTTTTTGGGGGTTAGTCCTGCTATCTTTTGCAATCTGTCATTCGTTTTCAATTTTTGCGGCCTTTATTTCCTTTTTGCATATTCTGTTATATTCTTTGTAATGTTTAAACGATGATAACGTTCCTTCATTTTTATATTTAATAAAAACTCTTTTCCTATTATCCATAGCTTTTTTGTCCGTAAGCCACATAGATTTAATTTTTAGCCTTTAAAACTTGTTGCCCATGGGAATATATTTTGCAGTGTGTTCACATACAGTCTTTTTGCAGAACTCCCATTTCTGTGTTGTGTTCATAAATGCCAAAATTCCCTCCCAGTTAGTCTTGGAGAGCAGCTCTCAGCCTTGGAAAATGAACTCATAAAATTGAGCGTTTTTATTTTTCCCGTATGTGCTTGCTGTTCACAGCTAACAATAAATGAAATCATGTTATGGTCACTGCTACCCAGATATTCTTTTATATGGACATTTGTAATAAGCTCTGCATGGTTTGAGATTACCAGGTCCAGCAGAGCATCATTCCTAGTAGTGGCCTCTATAAACTGTACCATAAAATTGTCCTGTAGTAGGTTTAAAAACGTTTGCCCTTTAACTGTTCCTGCAGTACCGTTACTCCAGTCAATTTCCGGGTAGTTAAAATCCCCCATTATTATTACTGTCAAAGCCCTTGCGATCTGTGCAAGGAGATGAGTCTCCACCTCCTCATTAACACTGGGAGGCCTATAACAAACTCCAATGATTACCTTTGTAGTACACAGGCCCAATGTGTTACTTCATTGCAATGCAGGTGTTCCGGAGAGACATTCATTACGAATGCTAGGTTTACTGCATGTTGCAATGTGTGTTGCAGAGAAGAGGTGTGACTGGGTTCTTGATCACAATTTCAGTTGTTGTTTGACATTGTTTTATGCAACTTTTCTGGAATATTGTTGCTACAAGCACCAGGTCCGAGAAACTGCTAACCATCTGGGTTTTGAATGCACTACAGCCTCAAGATTTTATAGGGAATGGTGCAAAACAGCTAAAATAAAAAAGCTAATTATAGTGCCCTCACCAACATACAGAAAGAGAAGGCATCATGTAAATTAAACTATGTTTGTTTATTTTCACTTTAAAGGTGGTTGTAACTCTCAGACATGAAATATAAACAAAGCATATCCCTCTATAGCAGGGGTCTCCAACTATGGGCCTCCAGGTGTTGAGGAACTGCAAGTCCCATGAGGCCTTGAAAGACTCTGACGATCACAGGCAAGACTCCCAGAGGCATGATGGGACTTGTAGTACTTCAACACCTGGAGGGCCATAGTTTGGAGACCCCTGCTCTATAGTGTTTACTTGCCTCTCTCCAAAGCACTAAGTGTCATTTGTCTCTGCTGCCTCATTCCTCTTATCAGCACGAGTCTCTTCTGTCAAGTTTTCTTGACACCAAGAGCTAAAAAGGTGACAGGGGAAGGATCTCTAGAACACAGCCTGTGATTGATAGCCTTAGTTCTGTTCCTGTGAGCTGTGTGAAGGGCTGCGTCCCTTCCCACCAATCAGCTCTCAGAGCTCTTTTACAGTGTGTAACTGCAGCTCCCTGCCCCTTGCTTTGTGAGTCTGTGAAAAATCCTTTTCATCTCTGAGCTTTACAAGGATGTACAGAACAATTGGCTGTAAATAAAAAGTTACAACTTATGAGGGAGGATTTGTTTCACCGGAGGCCAGCCACTTCATTAAGTTTAGGTAGGGGTTTACAACCATCTTTAAGTCTTATTTCAACTGTTCGGACTAGTAGGTGCTGCTGCAACAGTGTGTGAATACTTTATGGACACATTTCAATACCACAGCATACACATACATTACTGTGCACCCATTTACACAAACTAGATATGTGTACTTTATTAGATGCCCATTAAAGGTAGATGAAAATTTACTTACTGGTCTCAAATGACTGCTGGGGAGATTGAAAGCATCAGCCATAGCACAAGCCATTTCATACTTTGTCATTTGTTCATTCCCCGACCATTGATAAATTCCCTTTATCAGAGAAGGTTCCTGGAAAATAATAAAGGAATATACATGTGTATTTAAATTAAAAAAAAAAAAAAAAAAAGCATGAACATAAACCTGTACCCTGCTCATGCAAGACATTAGGTGAACTTAATTGCCAACCTCCTCAGCTGCATATATTCGTGTTCCCTTTGCAGCTTTGTTTAGTTAACCTAAACCAACACTTCTGGGTAGGGTGCATGTAACTTGCTCTCCTTCCCGTGTGATGGCATTGGTACTTTGTGATTAGCTACTCAGACAGCCAGATTTGTCACAAAGGGAAAAGTGCTTTGTAAATTCCAAGTCTTCTTTTCTTCATTTTTGAGGATCAGAGCAGCAAGAGGGGCAAAACAAAGAGAGGCAAGGCAAGTTTGTTAAGTTAACCTGCTTCTTTGTCTTACATGAACAAAGCACAGATCCACTTTAACCGCCTCCAGCCCGCCATATAGTAAAATGACGGACGCAAGGCGGTTCTCTCATTCTGGGAGGACGTCGTATCACATTCTCCCATTCTAACCTCGGACACAGCGGATCACCGATCAACGGAAAGAGCCGAAGATGTTGGCTCGGTCATGTGATCAGCTGCGTCCAATCACATGTAAATAGGGAAATGCCGGTTATCGGCATTTCTCTCCTCACAAGCTGTCACGCTGACAGCTCGAGAGGAGAGGAGAGCCGGTAAATCGGCATCCCTCAGAGGGCACATGTACACTGATCATCAGGGCACTGATGATCAGTGTGCCCTGATGATCTGTGTAGCCCCAGCAGTGCCACCTGTCAGTGTCCATCAGTGCACATCAATGCCACATTTCAGTGCCTACCAGTGCACATCAATACCACATACAGTTGTGACCAAAATTATTCAACCCCCAATGCTGTAAAGGGGTTTAGGGACTATAGTGTACATTTGGAATTGTATTCAGAATCAAATCCTACAAGGACGTTGTAACTACCCAAATGCAACTAAAATGACATCAATTGTTTATGTAATACAGTAGTAAATGGTTCTTATGTGGTTTCTTCATTGCCACAATTATTCAACCCCTTAAAGACTACCACTCTGAAGAACAGAGGTTCATACAGGTGCTTTCCATCAGGTATTGAAAACACCTGTGGATGTCACCGAGCAGCAATCAAGCATAATAAGCACCAATTAGGCAGCTTTAAAATGACTGTGATACTCAGCTCCTTCTAGACATTTACTGGTGTGGTTACAAACATGGTGAAGGCAAGAGAATGGTCCAGGAAGACAAGAGAAGAGGTGATTTCTCTTCACAGGAAGGGCAATGGCTATAAGAAGATTGCAAAGATGTTAAACATACCAAGAGACACCTTAGGAAGCATCATTCGCAAATTCAAGGCAAAGGGCACTGTTGAAACGCTACCTGGTCGTGGCAGAAAGAAGATGCTGACTTCGACTGCTGTGCGCTACCTGAAGCGTAGAGTGGAGAGAAGTCCCCGTGTGACTGCTGAGGAACTGAGAAAAGATTTGTCAGATGTGGGTACAGAAGTTTCAGCCCAGACAATAAGACGCACACTGCGTAATGAAGGCCTCCGTGCCAGAACTCCCAGGCGTACCCCCTTGCTGTCTCCAAAGAATAAGAAGAGTCGACTGCAGTATGCCAAAAGCCATGTGGACAAACCACAAAAGTTGTGGGATAGTGTTCTGTGGACTGATGAAACAAAATTAGAACTGTTTGGGCCCATGGATCAACGCTATGTTTGGAGGAGGAAGAACAAGGCCTATGATGAAAAGAACACCTTGCCTACTGTGAAGCATGGTGGAGGGTCAATCATGCTTTGGGGGCTGTTTTGCTTCTGCAGGTACAGGGAAGCTTCAGCGTGTGCAAGGTACCATGAATTCTCTTCAGTACCAGGAGATATTGGATGGAAACGTGATGCAGTCCGTCACACACCTGAGGCTTGGGAGACGTTGGACCTTTCAACAGGACAATGATCCCAAGCATACCTCCAAGTCCACTAGAGCATGGTTGCAGAGGAAAGGCTGGAACATTTTGGAGTGGCCATCGCAGTCACCAGACTTAAATCCGATTGAGAACCTCTGGTGGGACTTAAAGAAAGCAGTTGCAGTGCGCAAGCCTAAGAATGTGACTGAACTGGAGGCCTTTGCCCATGAAGAATGGGCGAAGATACCCGTAGATCGCTGCAAGACACTTGTGTCAAGCTATGCTTCACGTTTAAAAGCTGTTATAACTGTAAAAGGATGCTGTACTAAGTACTAAGATTGAATGTCACTTGGGGGTTGAATAAAACTGATAATGCTGTGAGCACAGAAAAGACATTTGTGGTTATTTCATTATAACTGTTATGTTATATTTGTCTGACCTACAAGTGCCTCTTTAATGTAAATGTAAGCAAGATGACTGAATGATCAAAAGCAATGTCAAACTGGCCAAAACACTCAATTTCAGTGGGGGTTGAATAATTTTGGTCACAACTGTATCAGTGCCCATCTGAGCTGCCTTTCAGTGTCACCCATCAGTGCCAGGCAGTGCCACCTATCAGTGCCAGTCAGTGCTGCCTATCAATGTCGCCTAAACCGTGCCAGTCAGTGCCACCTAACAGTGCCAGTCAGTGCCACCTATCAGTGCCATATATGAGTGCTGCCTTTCAGTGCCCATCAGTGATGCCTGTCAATGCCCATCAGTGCCACCTACCAGTGCCTCCTCATCAGTGCCACCTATCAGTGTCCATCAGTGCAGCCTATCAGTGCCCATTAGTGCAGCCTCATTAGCGCACATCAGTGAAGGAGAAAAATCACTACAAAATTTTATAACAAAAACTAAAAAAAACTTTTTTTTCAAAATTTTCAGTAGTTTTTGGTTTGTTTAACCACTTGCCTACCAGGCACTTATACCCCCTTATTTACCAGGCCAATTTTCAGCTTTCAGCGCTGCCGCACTTTGATTGACAATTGCGCGGTCATGCAACATTGTACCCATATGAACTTTTGATCATTTTTTTCTCACAAATAGAGCTTTCTTTTGGTGGTATTTAATCGCTACTGGGCGCTTTACTTTTTGCGCTATAAATAAAAAAAAATTGCAAAAAATTTGAAAAAAAAAAAAAAGTTTCTTTGTTTCTATTATAAAATTTTTCAAACAGGTATTTTTTCTCCTTCACTGATGTGCGTTGATGAGGCAGCACTGATAGGCAGCACTGATGGGCACTGATAGGCAGCACTAAAGGGCACTGATAGGCAGCACTAATGAGGTGGCACGGATAGGCGGCACTGATAGACAGCACTAATGAGGTGTCACTGATAGGCGGCACTAATATGCAGCACTGATAGGCGGCACTGATAGGTGACACTGATGATGGGTACTGATAGACGGCACTGACTGGCATCACTGCTGGGCACTGACTGGCGGCACTTACTGGCACAACCCCTGGGCACTGACTGGTGGCACTGACTGGCAGCACTGCTGGGCTGCACTGGTGGGTGGCACTGGTGGGCGGCACTGGTGGGTGGGCACAGGTGGGTGGCACAGGTAGGTGGCACTGGGGGGGGCACACCATCACAGGTGTGTGACACTGCAGAGTGGCACAGGTGGGTGCACTGCTGGGCACAGGTGGGTGCACTGCTGGGCACAGGTGGGCGGAGCTAGTGGGCGCACTGCTGGGCACAGGTGGGTGTAACTTGCGGGTGGCACTGCTGGGCACCGATCATCAGGGCACTGATCATCAGTACCCTGATGATCGGTGCCGATCCCCGCTCTGACAACTGCCGGTTCTCGGCAGTACTTTCCTCACGATCTGACAGCGTGAGGAAAGTGCAGCCGAGAACCGGCACTTGCATTTCCCTCTGATCAGCGTGTCATTGGACACCGCTGATCACGTGGTAAAAGGCCGCTGTGATTGGCCTTTTACCACATCACGTGATCAGCTGTGTCCGTAGGACACAGCGATCACGGAGATCGCCGGGTGCGCGCCCCCTGGGGCGAACAGGAGAGCGCGTTCTGGGAGGACGTCATATGACGTCCACTCAGAACTGGCCGGCCGCAGTGCAGCCGTCATTCGGCTATCTGCGGTCGGCAACTAGTTAAGAAAAAATAAAAAACCCAGAGGTGATTAAATACCACCAAAATAAAGACCTAACAGTCTCGAAAAAAATGATAAAAATTTCATATGGGTACAATGTTGCATGACCGCGCAATTGTTATTCAAAGTGCAACAGCGCTGAAAGCTGTAAATTGGCCTGGGCAGGAATGGGGTATAAGTGCCCTGTAGGCTAGTGGTTAAAAGACCTTTTTTTCTCAAATCCTGCCCAGCTGCATATTTTTTTTCTTTTACAGGGTTATTGGTAGGACGAACAACTTTTTCACAAGGATGGAACAAAAAGGAAAAAAAACACATTTGATAGGTTTTTGTTGGTAAGAAAGTGGAAAAGTTACAAAAAATCCACTCTAGTTATTTTTAAAAATACTATTTAGTCACAACCTCAGATATGTAACCCAAAATAAAAAGTCAACACACAAGAATATAACATCAATCTAAATTTTTAAGCCAACCCTACTCCAAAGATGACAATTCAAGCTCATAGGAAATCCCAGAGATGGGATTTAACATCAGTACAGAGACATTAGAGTAACAAACTCTTAGCTGATAAGTATCACAATACAACATACTGTACATGTTAATTGCTTTTTGTCCAAAGCTAGGTTCACACAAATGCAGCTCTGTGATCCACATTTGGGGTGGTCACCATAGCCTATTAATTTGAATGGGCTGCTCTGCATGGGGTACATGCATGAAAAAGTTTCCTTTTACACCATGCAATTTCCTGAGGGTTCCCTCATGTACAAATGCACTGTGTTAGGTGTATGGGGTGTCATTAAGCATTAATTGGCAGCTCTGTGTATCTGTAAAGAGCAGTGCATTTTGGTTGCGGGAACAGGTAGGGTTCTCACACCAGCAACCACCCGCATAGGTGAACCTAGCCTAAAAGAGCAGATCACAATTGTCCTAGTTTAACATCCTTATTAGGAAAAAGTGTTGTTGGCCACATTGTTAGAGTAAATAACCATTCAGAATTCCTACACTGATCACACTGCAGCAAGTGAGGTGAGATGAACCAGTGAAATACTAATGAATTTCCAGCACACTGCAGCTGCACTAAAATCAGAACGCTCAGTCAGTTTAGCTGAATTTGAGCTCTCCACTACATCTACAGCACACATATGAACCTCACAGGCTGTACTTCCCTAAGCGTGTGCAGTATAACTTGCTTTCCAACAATCACTTATAAAAATTTCCTGGACAGGTCTAAACCCAATTAATGGATCTGAGAAACATCTTATGTGAGAGGTGAAAAGGAAGAGGTTATAGAATCAAAGGCCAGTTTTAAGATCACTAGACATTCAACAAGTAGTGGGAGGACTGTTGCAGTACAAGAATGTCTGGGTGAAAAACTGAAGATGCAGGTAGCTTTGAGTATGATGCAATTCAAGGCCTAATTTTAAGTTTTCAAGTGTAAGTTCATAAGAGTAAAGTGGGAAATTATGTTATTAATGAAATAAAACCAAGATCTTGCCTGGAGTTACACGTAAAATGCAGCTTTGACTGACAAGTCATGTGGTCAGGTTGTCCTTCCAGCACACTGCCTCCCCTCCCACTTCACCCATTAATTTAAATGAATGGGGCTTAGCTTGCTTCTGACTCCCACAAATGAAGAACTATATACATTGATAATACAAAACCACAATAAGGCCATAAAGTTGCTTTATAAATGTGCTAAGCGTATTTAAAAGGGAGCAGCATTTAATATCAATTCTTACCTGCATTTTTCTCTCAGTTAACTGTAAGCAGACACTGGCTACATCCTTGACATAGGTGGGAAATCTCTGTTGCCAGTGGTCCATATTAGCAGATTTGTTGCTGAACTGCACCTTGTCAAACATAATTGTAACTGCGCTCTCCTCTAGTTTCTCCACATCCCCATATAACACAGGAACTCTGAGCACAGCAGCGTCTACAGTATAAGGCAATTAAAAATTATAGACCATATTAAAGACTTCCCGGAAAGTATGACTTTTTTTATAGGTATTATATAGCAACTAATAAGATTACAAAAATCAATACTTTGCTGTAAAAATGATTTCATGATAAAACTGACAGGTACTTACTATCACTGTTCTGCAGGATAACACGCTCTCCTTCTAGTTTGGTTTTACCATACAAGTTCAGAGGATTTGGCACAGAATCCACTCTGTACGGGGGATTTGATCCATCAAAGACATAGTCTGAACTAATGTAGATCAGGAATGCTCCAGCTGCAGCTTTGGAACAGAAATGGACAAAATACTTCAATATATATATTCATTCCAGATTAGTAATATTCATGTCTCCATGAGTGACAGCCCTTTAAAATGGCAAAAAAGACCATGGAGTTGTGCATTAAACAGAACATTTCTAATACAAATCCCACTCAGACCACTCCGTAAGTCAGCACTGAGTGATCCTCAATCAACAGGCACAAATTCTGATAAGCTCTAAAATGGACTGCATACTTTTCTGTACATGTTTATCTGATCAAATCTGTTAATTACACTTGATAGATAACGTCACTGAAACATGCTTACAGTGCCTTGAAAAAGTATTCATACCCCTTGAAATTTTCCACATTTTGTCATGAAGGAAAATGATAAATGGTTTTCAAAATTTTTTACAAATAAATATCTGAAAAGTGTGGGGTGCATTGTAAAATTTCATTTCAGGCCTTGTTGAAAAAGGACTGAAAATAAGCCGGCCATAAATGCCCTTAGCTGTACAGTGTTGCTTGGTCCTGCTACTCCCATTTCTTTGCCTCCCTTTTGATCCTGAAATAAATGGGCAACCTCACTAACCAACACAGAGGCTCAGAAGGCTGAAATAGTTTGAACTGCCCGGGTTTGTTACATGTTAGCATGAAAAGGGTAAATTCATACCTGCTACTTTGGCAAGATTTGAAGATGCCTCCACATTCAGCTTGGTGGCAGACTCAGGATGATTCTCAACAATATCTGGCCTTCTTTCTGCTGCACAATGAACAATCACATGTGGCTGTAAATAAAATACACATACAAGAGCAAATGTATATTAGTTACATTTTGGACATAAGCAACAGTAAATTCAATAAATATAATAGGAGTTTTAAAGAAAAATTAAGGCATTTTTTGATTACCTATAAATCCTAATAGATATAAACATATATGGTAAGTGAAATCAGTGAGCGCTTCAAATTGCAGCAGCTATAGCACACAAAGGCGACCCTAAACATAAATCTCATAAATATGTGTATAAAAAGTGCAGCGCTAAAAGGTATATCCTCCAGTCAAATGATATATCAGTAAAAAGATAAAATCACAATCTGTGCTCCAGTCCAATAAAGGTAATATAATAAAATAATTATAAATAAAATGGTGACAGTTCGTGATAAGTGATCAATACAGGAGTTGCTAGTGACTTCACGATCCAGTGGTTCGGTGATAAATAGTAAAAATACGCACTCACCAGATGCGTATCTTTTAATATGCATATAATAAGTAAAACCAGAGGTCCCCCTCATGGGATGGATGAGCTGGGCCGTCTTAGCGGACTCTCCTTCCTCTGAGGGCCCCTCAAGCCGTGACATCTACCCGCCGGTATCTGGTACAGGTCCGCTGGACATCCATTCACTGCACATTGGTCAGTAATCGCTTTTACTCGATTTTAACTACATTTATATTTTTTGCCACATGGATTAATAAATTTTATTTTTAAACTACTACACTATGGGCAATTTCTTGTTGCCTCCCTGGTGAGCTAATATCCATTCTAGAGCCCAAGTATCAAGACACAAGAGTTGTTATATGTGACACCAACCCTGAGGATGACGCACGTTCCTCTGTAAGCTGCCCAGTACCCTGTCCATTACCTAGAGGGAGACAACGGTTTGGCTCATCCATCCCATCCTATGAGGGGGATCTCTGGTTTATTTATTATATGCGCATTAAAAGATACGCATCTGGTGAGTGCGTATTTTTACTATTTGTCACCAAACCACTGGATCGTGAAGTCACTAGCAACTCTTGTATTGTTCACTCATCACGAACTGTCACCATTTTATTTATAATTATTTTATTATATTACCTTTATTGGACTGGAGCACAGATTGATTGTGATTTTATCTTTTTTATTGATATATCATTTGACTGGAGTATATACCTTTTAGCGCTGCACTTTTTATACACGAATAGATATAAAACCCTTCTTTTTCTTGCGAAAATACTATATATTTTACCCCATTTTCATACCGTAATGCTGCCGATTTGTCATGTATAATGCTTTGAGGACACCGACTGGTTGCACTATTAGGGCTTGTTCACATGTGAGGTTTGGAGGCAGTAAAACCTTGTTGAGTAAAACCCTTTTAGCTGCAGAGGCAGCAGCTGGGGGTGTACATATGCCAAGGCTGCAACGCTTTGCTTCGCAGCAGTGGCAGGATTTATATCCCCTGTCGCTTTCAGAGAGAACAGAGCTCAGGGATTTTGACTCATTCAGGTAAACAGGGGTGCTTGTGCAGGGTCCAAGGGGTTAAGGTAGGCAGTGAGGAAGCAAAACACCTCCTCACCATCTGTCAAAATGCACTCTGAAGGGAACCTTTATTGCCTTTGTTCAGAGAATTAATCCAAGCCTCGCTCTCAGAGTTCATCACACAGTTGTTCATTAGAGAATGATCTGCTTACTCCATGGGATCAGAGGCTGAACAGAGCTCTTTTCCATGCTCTCACCAGGAGAATCAGACAAAATCACCAGTCTCCTCCATGGGCCATAATCAGTGGGTAGAAGGCTAGCTCCTAGTCCCCTCCAAAAGCTGCTGTCCCAGTTGGGTTTGTCACAGTGTATATCTCCAGTTGCGGCAAAGTATAGGGGCTGGACTCATGTACAACAAGATTGTCTTTCAGGGTGAAGGTCCACTTTAAAGGTAAACTGTAGGCATCTCAAAAATTAGGGACTAGCACTTTTTTTGCAAAATGTATGTAAACCCATGTACATTTTTTACTGGCTTGAATTTCTATTCAAAAAGGGTCCTGCTAGTTGATGAGCTAAAGAGTGGTGATAAATGCATTTGTCAAAGAGATACAGGAAGACACACTGGTCGTGGTATTCCCACACAGACAGTCATTACATGATCTATCAATGTTATGTTGCTGTAGATGATAGATGGGGCTAGGCTAATTGGCCGATTGCCTATATTTCATTCTTTCTGCCAAGCTTACAGGCTGAAGCTGAATTTTAGTATAATTTCCTGGGGAGAGGATACAGCACAATACAAATTAAATTATGTGTAATAGTAGATCTTATCAACAACAGCCGATAACGTTCTCTACGGCTTCTCCAGACCCTTTCACATCTATCACCTGCTCAGGGTGAACCTGCTCTCATCTGTGAAAAGTACAGGGTGCCAGTGGTGGACCTGCCAATTCTAGTGTTTAATGGCAAATGCCAATCAAGCTCTATGGTGCTGGACAGTGAGTACAGGGCCCACTAGAGGATGTCGGGCCTTCAGGCCACCCTCATGAAGTCTGTTACTGATTGTTTGGTCAGACATTCACACCAGTGGCCTGCTGGAGGGCATTTTTTAGGGCTCTGGCACTGCTCATCCTGTTCCTCCTTGCACAAAAGAAGCAGATACTGGTCCTGCTAATGGGTTAAGGACCTTCCACGGCCCTGTCCAGCTCTCCTAGAGTAACTGCCTGTCTCCTGGAATCTCCTCCATGCTCTTGAGACTGTGCTGGCAGACACAGCAAACCTTCTGGCAATGGCATGTATTGAAGTGCCATCTGGGAGGAGTTGGACTGCCTGTGTAACCACTGCAGGGTCCAGGTATCGCCTCATGCTATGAGTAGTGACACTGACCCTAGCCAAATTCAAAACTAGTGAGAAACAGTCAGAAAAGATGAGTAGGGAAAAATAGGTCAGTGGCCTCCACCTGTGAAACCATTCCTGTTTTGGGGGGTCGTCTCATTGTTGCCCATCTAGTGCACCTGTCAATCTTATTAACACCAAAGCAGCTGAAACTGATTAACAACCCCTCTGCTACTTAACTGACCGGATCAATATCCCAGGAGCTTAAGTGACTTGATGCTATACTCTGATTAAAAAGTGTTCCTTTAATTTTTTTGAGCAGTGTATAATGTGTTCGTATTTTTTCTAAATGTGCTTCTTAAAATTTCTTTGGAAACACATCTTGGCAAAAACACACACACAAAAATAAAGGAAAATGTTACCTTGAATTCGCAGATAAACTCTTTCACAGCAGATGTATCTAGTAAATTAAGATACTCAAAGCGAGGCCGTGCCCGGCTATAGCCACATCCTAAAACACGCCAGTTGTTGTCCTTGAACTCCCTGTATACAGCACGGCCCAGCAGACCAGTTGCTCCAGTTATCAGTGCCCTTCGATTAGGGAAAAAAACATCTGCCTAGAATGCAAACACAAATCACACCACGATTCAGGAAGTATAAATTGATAGCATGGCAAACAAAACAGAAAAGCACAAGCCAAATTATGAACTTCATTCTAGAATTTGTTTGGATTTAATATTATAAAACGACACCGTCTAAAATGTCATCTATATGGCAAAAAGGGATGTTTTTATGTCCATTTTTTTTTATTGTAGAATACTGGTCTGTTTAACATTATTTAAAAACATATTTACTTACATAAATCCTTTTTAAAAGTAATCCTCAATTCTAAACAAACTCTATGCAAAAACATGACATGTAAAATGACATACTATATTTGATATTTACCACTGGTAGCCACCAGACAAAACCAGGCTTTTGCAGAGAGATCTACTGCTATGCTATAAACAAACACCCAAATAGCAGGAAATCAAATTACACATAGCAGAATAAGCCAGAATGAAAATAACCAAAACCATTAACTTTGTTAGAGTTCACGCTCTTAAACTGACCCTGCCACCAGTTCACAATTTCTCATTTGAATCTGCTGCAGTACAGCAATATTCCTATGTACTGTCCCAACTGTTGATTTCAAGTGGTTGTAAAGACTGAAAGGAAAAAACCTTGTGTGTGCTGCTCCCCCCCAAAGTCACCCTAATACTTACCTGAGACCCATCTCGATCCAGAGCTGTGCACCAGAGCAGCGGCTCTCCCGAGTCCCTCTCTCCTCATTAGAGAAGACACTTGCTATGCGGAAAGACATGTGGGCTCGCTCCACACTATATGTGGCCATAGACTTACATAGCGCTTCTCGCCCCACCCTCCACTCACAGGGTTTGACTGACAGCATCATGAGCCAATTTGCCTGTGAGAGAGGGAGAGTGACAGCAGCACTGTTGTTCTCGGTCACAGCACTGAATTGGGATAGGACTTAGGAAAGAATTTGGCTTGGGGGCAGCTGTTTTTTTTACCTTAATGCAGAAAATGCCATTTTAATCACTTAACCTTCAGAAGATTTACCCCCCTTCCAACCAAGCCATTTTTTTTGCGATATGGCACTGTGTTATTTTACCTGACAATTGCGTAGTCAGGCAATGCTGTACATAAATTAAATTTACATCAATTTTTCCCCACAAATGGAGCTCGTTTTTTAGTGGTATTTGATCACCTGAGTTTTTTATTTTTGCGCAATAAACAAAAAAAAAAAAAAGACCAAAAAATTTTGAAAGAGAAAAAAACAACATTTTCTACTTTCTGCTATAAAACATATCCAATAAAAATAAAAAATCAAATTGCTTCATAAACTTTGTCAAATATGTATCCTGCTACATATTTTTGGTAAAAAAAAAAGAAAAGTAAAAATTCTAATAATCGTATATTGATTGGTTTACGCAAAAAAGTTATAGCGTCTATAAACTATGGTATATATAAAATGGAATTTGTATTTAATTTTTTTTATTAGTAATGGCGGCGATCAGCGACTTATAGCGGGACTGCGATATTCCAGCAGACTTTGTGGGAACCAGTGACACTAATACAGTGATCAATGCTAAAAATATGAACTGACACTGTACTAATGATACTGGCTGGCAAGGGGTTAAACATCTAGGGTGATCAAGGGGTTAACTGTGTGCCTAGCTAAGTGTAGTAGGTACTGTGTGTACTGTTTTCACTAGGTAATGTGCTGGATACTATTCCCTGCTTTGCCGCTGACAGGACATAGCGGTCTTGTTTACATAGGCAGAGCTGTGTTCTGTCAGTGTCCGAGATGATCAGTGTGTCAGTGCTCATCCATTGTCCGGCAAGCACTGATCAGCTTCTGCTGCGACAAATCACAGCAGAAGCAGCGTCCTGGCGCTGAAGTGCAGATTCACGTTTATATACGTGATTTTTTACAGTGCAGCCACCCTGTAGCAATATACCTGCTATGGGGTGGTCGACAAATGATATGTTACCCCAACATTTCATATTTCTGATACAGGTCTGTATTGCCATGTAGTTGTGTTAAAATGTTCTCTTTGTATTGCTTTCTTTGTGTGAGATACCTGGTGATCCTACCAGTCCCTCTGCTTTCCTATTTCAAACTGATCACACTAGGCATGGCAGTACATCCATCCCAGCACAGCCAGTTTCCTGGCTGTGCTTGGAGCATAGCCTTCCTCTCCTCCAATGGTCACACTTGTATGGACATGCCCCACCCGGCACAGCTAATCACTGGGAAGATCAGTGAACCGCTGTTTCTTTGCCAGCAGCCGACACACTCTTGCAGGCTCCATCCACACCACTCCAAGCACCTTACACAGCTGAGAGGAGAGGGAATGTGACCACATCTAGAAAAAGAAAAAAAGGCCTTGCAATTCTATTTTAAACTGAAAGGGTTGTTTTACAGAGGTGAGGATTCACATATACTTTATAGCCTTATGGCAAAGGGCCCAAAGTTTAGGGGCTCCCTTGCTGCTATGGAGCCACATTTTAAAAATGTATGCATAACCACTTTTTTTTTTTTAGATGGACATACTTTGCTGCCTGTGTCCTGCTGCAGACATTCCCCTTCTTTTCCTGTGTTGCAAATGCAAGGAGCTGAAAGAAATCTCCACAAGGTGAGGGGACGTGCACTATACACTAGACAGTAGAACATGTCCCCTCAGCTCTTGCTTTAATGACAGCTCTGTAAGTTAGGATTTACCCTTACTTTGCCTTACAAGAAGGCTGCATTATAAAGTCTAATCACGTTAGCATCTGCCACTTTTTCAGACTATAGAAGTGAAGTGATGGTACTTCAAGTAATGAAGAGAGTTCTACATGATTAAATCTGCACACCCATGAGATCATGAAAAAAACCAAAAAGACAACACAGGTATTACAGCATAGTTTAATTAATTGATCCACAGTAATAATATCTGGACACCAAATGTTTCCTTTTGAATAACTGTATTCATATTGCCACATATACTTATCCCTTTATTTAATATGGACATTAAAAGAAAAGGAGGGAAAAAAAAAAACTTAAATATGGTGCAAAAAGCCATAAGGTCCCTCAAACTAACGGGTTCACCTGTTAGTTTTTCAAGAGAAACTGATCAGACCCCCCCCCCCCATTCTCCTAATGCCCAAAGCATTAAATTCAAACTACTAACTCTGACATACAAAGCCATTCACAACGCTGCCCCAAACTACCTAACCGACCTGGTACCCAAATACCACCCTACCCGTGCCCTTCGCTCCTCACAGGACCTCCTACTCTCCAGATCCCTGGTCTCCTCCTCCCACGCATGACTGCAGGACTTCTCCAGGAGTTCCCCCCATCCTCTGGAACTCTCTACCCCAATCCATCAGACTATCACCTACCCTCCTCACCTTCAGGCGCACCCTGAAAACCCACCTCTTCAGGGAAGCCTACTCCACCCTCACCTAACCGATCTCCTCCACTCCTCCTACCACTCCATCCCCCACAGCCACTTCCTACTGTACCACTATCCCCTCTCTCCTAGATTGTAAGCTCGAAAGAGCAGGGCCCTCGAACCCCTCGTGTATTGTACTGTTTTGTCTCGTGTTCTGTCCCCCTCACTATTGTACAGCGTTGAGCAAACCCTTTGGCGCTATATAAATACTGTATAATATTAATAATAATATTAGAGTGGCAGGTATAAACAGACTTGTGTCTGTTTATACACACCTACATCCAATAAGATCCTAACTGCTAAAAACAGACAAATGAAGAGCCATTCGTCTAGCGGATCTGATGAGTAAACAGACAGGTGCTCTATTTACATCAGACCGCCCATAGAGGACAACAGGCTGTGTGTGTGTTCGTTCTGCATAAGTTGAGTGAACATGGATCAGCCATCCACCTGTCCAGCAGAGGTCAGCGTATAGATCTGAGCAAGAAGACTTCTCACCAAGGCAAAGAGGATGCCAATTGCCCTGCCACTTCCATAGCCTACTGGAACATGGCACATGTCCCAGGAGGCTGCAGGACAGGGTGGATAAAAATCAATGATTTAAAAAAAAAAAAAAAAAAAACACGGATTTTTTTTATTTAAATTGGATTTTTTTTTTATTCCATCATGAAATAAAGATTAGTTTTTTAATTATGTAGAATAAGGCTGTATATGTTTAATTTTTTTGGTAAATAAATTCCATTAATCCATTCAGTGTCATGCTCTTCCAGAGGTTTTTGTAAGATTATTGGGCAGTTTCTCTGCCTACAAGATATTATCACAGATGCTTGGTTTACTTTTGCAGTTTTCAAAACTGAATTTGACTCAGCGGAGATCACATGCTTCTTCTTCACAGCAAAAATGTTATAACATGAACAGAGTTAAGAAAAAGATCTTAATCCTAACTTCTACAAACCTATGAATACAGAATCAACCCCTTCAGTGCTAAGTTTCAAGAAGTTCAGTGAATAGAATATTCAGGAAACAATATTTTTCTGATTGTTTGGAGCGGAATAGATCTGCACAAGAAGAAAGTGAAACTAAGGCTACGTTCACACTAGCCTTGTGTGCAGGAGGCAGAGAGGCGTTTGGGAAGCGTTTTTACTGCTTCCCAAACGCCTCTGCCAATTCTGCACATTACAGCACATGGTGCTGTTCTAACGGGAGCGTTTGCGTCGCGTCACGACAAAACGGACGCCTCTGGTCGAGTCAGGAGGCTTTGAAGCCTCCTATTCTCGTCTAGGGTGCCGCTCCGCAAATGCCCGGCCGGCGTTTGCGGTGCGTTTGCGGAGCGGTAACACCACTCAAACTGTATTATAGGCGTTTGTGGGGCGTTATTAACGCTCGGCAAACGCCTAGCAACCGCCACTAAACCGCCCTTATTGTTTCAGTTGAATAAATCTATTTAAATTGTTATTATTAAGGTAATGATTATTTTTCTCCTTCCTAAAGTACAACAGAAAAGTTGTCCAAATATTATTATTATTATACAGTATTTATAAAGCGCCAATAGTTCGCTCAGCGCTGTACATTACAAAGGGAGACAGAACATGTGACAGAACAATACAATACAATAC